ATTTGACTAAGGGGAAATAATGCAATTTAGGAGCTAAAAAAAACATTTTCTTTGATGTTTAGAAAATAGGAGAGGCATCTTATGAGCTTACTATTTTATGAAGATCATAAATGCAGAATTAACCAAACTTAAGTTGACTTACATTAATATAACCAAATTGCACTTGGGAAAGTAAGTAATAGGTGTTGCCACTAGGTGATAGCCATTAAAAGTAAAAAAAAAAAAAATCATCAATGCCTGAGGGTTAACATTTCGAGCCTCAGAGACAGAACCTTTTTATTATGTACATATTAAGCCACAGTACCCTATGTGCATATTGACATAAGAATTTAGGGGAGTTTGGTAACACACCTTGCAAATTCTGCTTTTTTTTTTTTTTTTTTTTACAGAACTTTTACTCACCCACCCGTCCCTCCACAAAATGTTCCCCCTTTTCCTGCCTCTCGTTTGCTCATCCTGTGTGCTTCTCCAGATTGTATTTTGGGAGATTTTGATGTAAATGTTGCCCTTGGTGGCTAGATGTGCTGGGTGCAGAGAATACTAATAGGACATCAGATGTCTTTCTGGGAATGGAGTAGAGAGTAGAGGTTGAGTGCTGGTTGTATAATAACCCTTATTCAGCTGAGATGGCCATCTTGGAGAGGGCTATCGGTGCTTGGGCCATAGACACTGTGATTAGATTTCCCCTCTGTTGGTATTCTTCTCTGTCCCTGGATCTCTCATTGGTATTGTTCTACACATGTTCCTTCAAGCAATTTAACATTAGTCTTACCAGTCATTTTTTACATGGAATTTCACAAAAACAAGAGAAAGGATGCCTTAAACTTTTTTTCCACCTGTTTGAAAGAAAATCAAGTTTAGGTAATATTGTTATTAAAAAGTTGGCTTTTGCACATTGTGTGCAGTGACTATTGGCTGTTAGATGCTTTACTCCAGTACACAAAACTAAACAAAGAAAGAGGAAACGAAGATTCCCCATCACAGATAAATATCATCTTACCTAGTATTTGATAGCATGAACATTATGTTTAGTTTCTTTCTTGAATCCACCACTAACTAAACAGCGGGAGTAAAAAATATAGGATTGTGTGTCTGCTGTCTACCCTGTAGTTAAAACATCCTGGTAAATTAAATATTTATCATTCTAACACAAATTTATTCTGGCTTATAGGTTTATCAAACTTGTATCTCATCAGTGTACCCCTTTCTATTCATAAAAGGTAACTTATGTCTTTGTTTTTATCTTTTTTTTCTGCATCTAAACCCATGATGTTTATTATCTTCATTTTGTGTACTTTATAGCTCAAATTAGGTTTGAAGTCTCTCTGTCCTTCCTGTGCTCTCTCTGTCTGTGTCCCCATAGACCCTCTGTGGTTTTAGTGCACATGCCTGCTCAAAGCCTGTGTCTCTACGCTGCAGCACCGGGTAATCAGTTAACCTGATTAGGCTGCTGATGAAATTAAATCATTGCTGTAAGTGAAAATAATAATATGAGTAATAGGTGCGGGGTATGGTGGAGCACATCACAGCGCTTTGCTGCAGTCCCAGTCTGCTGGGATTCACCTCTCCCTCTTCATCATTAGTTATGACTCTCTCCACTCTGGGAGATCACTGATGGCTCGGAACTCTGTACTTCTAAAGCCTCTGATTTTGGCTACGCTTAAAAATTAATGGCATTTGCAGTATGATAATGTCAACAGCTCATATGCAGCATAAAATCCTCACCAATGCAAGGCAATAACTTGTATTAGTGATTTATTCGCTTGGGTAGCTGGGGAGCAGAGAAGTGACACCTAGGGATTTAATGGCATGTGGTATACTGTAGCAAACTGGCTCTTGCAACTTTATTAAAGGTTTCAGGATTTTACAGGTCAGGCTCTAGAAATGCATGTGCCTTAATAAAGTGTTCATTAAAGGAGATTTTAATTAGACTTCTTCAAGGCATGACTGAGGTGCTTTCATTCCATGCGTCTGAGCTAGTAGTGGAGGTAGTCACAAAGTTGAAACAGCCCTTACTTGTATTACAAAATTGACTTCTTTAATTAGAGATACTTTTGTCACTCAAAGTATAATGAGGTGAGGGTGACCTTGTTAGTCCCGCCTTTGAAATCAAGCTCTACCAGCTCTTTATTGCACTGACAAGCCTTATACGTCATACCAGTTTGTCTGACCAGGCTTTTTTCAATTTATTTCATTTAGCCTCTTCATATCTATTATCACAAAATGCAGAAATCATAGAAATACACTTGCTGTTCTGCTATTGAGACGGACCCCTTTGAGAATTCCAGGATACCATGCATGTCAGTTGCCTTCATATCCAGCCTGGCTAACCCTAAACTTCCACTCCCTCGATGAGTGATCTATTTATTTTGCATGACCGCCTTTATCGACAGAGCCTGTAAGCTTCAGGGCATGAGATTGTATCTGACTCTATTTCCAGGGAAGCAAGCAGCCAACATGCATGCCATTTGTCCAGGAAAGCTGCTGGTGCTGTATCAGGTCAGAGCAGCTGTAATAGTGGTATAATCTATCTGCAGATCCATAATCCTAGGATTCTTGTTTGCTCAGTTTGTTTGTTTATCCACCTTTTCTGCCCTATTTTAGCCCCTTTGCGCACATTCCCTCCGTCTTCTGCCTAATCAAATTAGTTTCAAATCCACTTACTCAGTGTGTATTCTCGTCCTGCTTTTGGAGGTCAAATGTCAAATAATGTAAGCGATAGCAACTACCACAAGACGTCACGTCCCTGCAACAGAGATTACTTAGGCAGCCGACTCTCACTCTTCTCTCTCTTTGGCCTGTGGGCCCCCGGGTCTGATAGGCAAGACACGCCGCTCCTCAGCTGAAGCCACGTTACGTGGACCCCACGATGATTTGAGTGAACTATTGATTAACTCTAGCTTCCACTTCTAGTTATTTACACCAACGTAGCATCTCCAGACCTGTTGCATTACGTTAACGCACAGTCTACTTTGTATTTAGTATATAGATATGTACTATATATTGTATATAGTATACTGTATTTTTTTATATTGTGTATATAACTATAGATTCAGTATTCCTTATATATGTCTAATTTCTCTGCACCATTAGCACAAAGTCAAATTGGCAATAAATCTGATTCTGATTAATATATTCATTACCTACTGGTAAAATTGCACAACACTACTTTAATGTGGCCTGTACTGGCCTTGGTTTTATGCTTTCATACCATGAATTTAGAGGGATTTGTTGTGCACACAGGGCAGAGGTATCAGATGTAATACTCGGAGTGCAGGGCAGAGCTACTCTTTTGCAGATAGGCTTCTCTAACAGATGGTACTCATAAGAGGCATACACGAGTGCAACACCTTTGATGGTATCTTACACATAGATCATCGATGACACTCAGAGAAGGGAGTTTGTAAGAAAAAACGTTGTGTACCTTTGTAAAGCAAAACGTTGGCTAAGGCTGCTCTGGGCTTCAGATGAACAGGTATAAAGGAATTACAAAGGGATGGTATGAATAAATAATGAAGAGGAAACGGCTTGAAACATAACAGTGTAAATGCCTGCACTTTTTGACCCACCGTTAAAATATTTACTGTGGTTTTATATCAACCTAGCAGACAACCTGTCTGGATTCGGACTGAAACAATCTGATTCTTAGTAAGTTTTTATTAACAGAACTGCATCTTCAGTGATGCCCTGATTTAAAAGACCAACTAAAACAGTAAAAAAGGATTTTGTCCTAATTTTACATAAATTATATTTCTGATTTTGCCAAGAGGCCGCTGTGATGGCTGCAGTGTGAATATGAGGTCATTGGCTTGCCAAATGCAGCTCTTTTGTGCCACTGGTCAGTATTTCAGTCAGTCAATCCTCTCCCATTTGGGATGTGGCCTTGAGCTTCAGATGCATATTATAGCTTTGGGTACTTCCCTTGTCATCTGAGAATGAATCACTGCTCTGGCTCCAGTCGGAGAAAAGGTCAGGCAATTTGACCCATGGGACTAATTGCCCAAAGACAGTAGGGAGGAGAGCAATGACCACAGAGTGCACTAAGCCGTCATCTCTTAAACAGAAATGATTGTTCAATCATGCACGATCTGCTTTAGGAAATTACTTGTTTCTGGTGAGGAGTTTTTTTTTAAGATATGAAGAGAAATATTAATGAAAAATGCAACTGCAAAAAAATAACTCCAGTGTAATATGCAATGAGCTAATGGTCCTAATAAAATGTTCAAAAGGTGAAATGATATGATGTATGATAGTGATATTTGAGTTCTTCCATTAATCAGCTTAACCTCTCTTTAGAATAAAACATTGGGTCTTGTTATCTTATAAATAAAAAAAACATTCCTTTGAATATATGCTTGTTGTGACTTTATTTATTGTATAGAACTGGATCAAGTCAAATAATCAATTTTGCTTTTTTCTTAGTGATGTTCGAAGTTTTATTGGTTTTAACTGCAACAATACCCACAGAGTGCATTGCAATTTGTCAAATTATGTACTTAGTTGTTTGCATCAGTTGAGAATTGTAAGGCAGTAAGGAAGTATTTAGTTTTGAAGATTTTTCTTTTCTGAACCAAATCAAAAAGGTACATCAGGTACAGTACTTTGTTAGTTGCTTCAGTCTTGCATGCAGGTCAAAGCCACATAATCAAGTGGATTTTCTTAGATGTACAGTCTGTGCATATCGTGCATTTCCATCCCTTTTCAAATGATTGCTTGTTAATTTTAAAGACGTTTTGTCTGATTGTGATTCACTCACTCTCTTAATTTCAATATATATATAAATTGCTAAATGTCGTGTTATTAGTCACTATTACATTTTTAACGTTTGCACCATGACGGAAGCATGGATTTGTGACGGTGATAACTTTCTGGGGCTGTTAAAAAAAGGACACCAACTCCAAACAAACTTAAAATACATAATTTTTGATTGGCTCACAAATAAGTTTTGAATTCCTGACTTACAGGCTTTTCAACTTCCCTTTCCCTGTTTTTCCCCACAGAGGACCTTCTGCCACCAGGCTTCCCAAATATTGACATGGGTCCTCAACTCAAAGTGGTAGAGAGAACTCGAACAGCCACCATGCTCTGTTCTGCCAGTGGGAACCCTGACCCAGAAATCACCTGGTACAAAGACTTTCTGCCCATAGATCCAAGTGCAAGTAATGGACGAATCAAGCAACTGCGCTCAGGTAAGACGAGTTTTAGCCACATTTTTTTGTTGTGTTACTTCTTTCCCAGCAGATTCCACATTCCAGTTATTCTGATAAGAGTACATATGATTGGACTTTTTTGCATGTGTCAGTTATTTATGTAATAGTAAACTAAGTTAGAATGGAAATTTTCTGACATTGATTCCAAGTGATATGTTATGAGCAAACTAGGATTGGGAGTTTATAGTTGAGGGTTAAATAAATGTAATTATCCCAAAACTGTGTCACTGTGGACAATGACAACAATGTTCACATTCTGCAGTACAAACTCTCATGTGAAAAAGCTTTCTTGTTCAGATTGATTAAAGCCCACAGATTGCCCCAGTAATGCAAAGTCTAATTATATTGCTAATTAAGTGCAGGCCCTGCAGTGGCTTTGGGCAACAGGGGTAGATATTTTCGGTCGATGATTTGTCACCATTTGAAAAATCAAATGACTTTCATTTGATTTGTTGCTGCAACCAGAAATGGGGGACGAGGTCTCTAAATAAAGATTCTGACACCAATGAGTTTTAGATTTTATTAAATCCCCTCAAAGGCTGTACATTCACAGAATTAATGATACATCATCTTATTATGAATCCCATACTAATGAAAAACATGTTCTGAAACATCTTTTATATTGCTTTTTGTTTTTGCAAATATTCTTTTTTATTTATCAATACAGAAATTTGTGTGTTTTTTTTTTGTATTTTTTGCATTACTCTAGATTTATTGATTCCATGGCAACAAATACAGTGTTATGCAATTGTATCATTACCTCTAGAACTTTTCATGTTTTATATCTTTAACCACAAATGTTGGATTGGAGATTGATGTGATAGCCCATCAAAAAGTCATCCACAACTGTGGAATAGCATTTTATACATTAAAATATAAAAGTCACTTTTAACTTAAACAACGCAGGTTAACCGCTTGCCTTCAGAGGTCCAAATGTGTATAACTCAGTCATAGTAAATGGTATTCTATAGAGACCTTGGGAGCTTTCAATAGAACCTTAGTAAATGAACAGCATCATGAAGGTCAAGAAACATAGAAAATGCGTCATGTGATGACATTATATGGATGTTTAAAGCCAGTTCTGGGGTGTAAAACACAAGCTTTGAAAATCTCAAGGAGCACTTCAATTCATGATCAAGGAAGTAGAAGAACTGCATTTGGATTGGTGACTTAAAAGACGTCTTACTCAGCTGCACACTTCACAATACTTGCCTTTATGGAGAAAGGGCAAGGTTGCTTAAGTATAAAAGGACCCTTCTTCAGCAAACCTTTGGAAGCTGGGGTCCTCGCAAATGAGACCAACATTTAACTTTTTGGCCTATATTTGAACTGATAAATGTGACATAAACCAACATGTCAGAGAGACAGCTTAGCTAAACATGTAGATAGACATCAAAGCATAAAATGAGCTATAGCATGACATAGACCTAACTCTATTTTAGAAACTAAAGACTGCTGTATAGAAACTCCTAAATCAATGTAAGCGTAAGGTATTTCATAAAGAATTATTGTGAAAAAAATCAGTCTCTAGATACAAAAAGTTAGTAAACAGGAAGATCTAGAAGAAGAAGTGAAATTTTAGAATATATTGATAAAAGGGAGGTGAATAAAAATGCAAATATCAATTATGAGATAGATTTATAGTTTTATTTAAAAAATATAGATATTTTTTTCTTTCCTCTTGCTGTTATACCGCCTAGTGTTGGTCTATCACATCTAATCCCAATAAAACCAATTGAAATTGATGTCTTTAATCTGAAAAATGTGAAAGTTTCAAAGGGTATACATTCTTATGGAAGACATAGAACTGATTACCTTAGGCAAAAGTTATTGGTTGTGGATAAAGATGAAACATTTGAAGATTAATCCTTGAACATACAAATGCTTGTTCATTTTTACTCTATATTCCTAAAACAATACAAGCCTTTTAATTCATATCACACTTGAACTGATTGTATAAAATGTCCTTTATACATGTTAACTAACTGAACCCAGCTTAGTTGCCAAATTTTACTGATGAATTACAATTTGCTAGTTTCAATTTATATGCATAAGAATGTCCTAGGATGTCTTTTCCATACTCTATGGTCCTGTTTAGATCTAGATTTCCTGCAATAGATATTGGGCTATAAAACTTTGAAACTTGTTATAGATTTTCTAAATAAAACCGGGACAGTTATTTTCTTCAATTTTGTTACACATTTGTTTATCCCCATCAGCATTTTTTTTTTTAGATTTTAGTGGGATCATTTAAAGGGTCAACTACAGCTTTTGAAAAACAGTTTTACCTGTAAAACTGTACAAATCTTCAACTTGTTCCTTGTGCCTTTGTGAGTAATAGGCTTCTGTGGATAAAAGAAATGTAGCTTCCAGTGTTGTCTAACCCTTGTATCATCTGTCTCTCTGTTTCATGATACCTTGAAGTCTCTCTTTGTGTTTCCTGTTTAACAGTTGTCCTGTTGTCACTCTCTTTGTTAAAGTGTTTTGTCTATGTTGGTGTCTGAAACTGAGATGTGCTTCATGGCACATCACAAGGGCTTCAAAAACCTTGTATTTACTTTGATTCATATCACAGTTGTAATCAAAAAGGAAATGATAAAAAAAAAAGTTAAACAAACTAAAAGATAAAAAACCCTCTTAACCTTTGAACTAATTGCTCTAATATAATTATTAAAAAATAAAAACCATTAATAGCAACTTATACTGTAAATATCAAGTTGATGCTTTAATTGTAAGGGTTAGATAAACAAAATGGCTAACTAGATTCTACTTCCTTTTAAGTATTTGGCGATTCTAACCTAAATTTTATCCTAAAATAAACTCTGTTGTTCTTCTTTTCTTTCTAATTACTTCTTCTTGCTTTGTCATTTTCAGAAAGATTTGGTAAGTGACTTGCAAAGCTCATAAAGCCAACCCACTCTCCTTGAAGCAGACGGCATATTAAAACCACCTCCCAAAATGCATGCAACCCTTGCTCCCCAACCCTAACCTTTTTCCTCTTTTTTTAATGCCCCCCCCCCGGTCTCCTCAGTTCATTCTTAATCTTTCATTTTGGTTTTCCTAACTCTCACTAATGTGAGCCTTTACTTGTATTACCAGGCTAGGCTTTACGTTTTTCTTGCCAAAGAGGTTTCCATTTTTAAAATAGAGTTAATAAGGCATTATACTGTAAGTTTGCCATAAATTTAGCATTTTTAAACAATAAGTAGATTTGTGAAGTCTTCCCAATTCTAATCAGCTGAAATTTGTCCCCCAGAAGCTGGAACATAGGCCATCAATAAAAATGTTTTGGGAAAGATTTATTAGCATCACATATAGATGGTATAGAAATGAATTATGGCCAGATTATAATCTGTGGGCAGAGCTGTAAACTTTATTTATTCACCATCTACTTGACAAATCACAACATGGAAACAGACTAACTTCTACATGCAAACTAATATATTTCAGTTACTTTTTAGTTTTTTATTAAAAGTAAAACATGTACAAAAACTTTGTTTCATCAGAACACATAAATATTAGATCTTTATGTTTGAATCCATTTGCCAACATAAGTTTGGCTTTTAAGGTTGCATTTGCAGCAATGATGGCCTCTCACTAAGTGGTCTTCCAGACCGTATCAATGTAAGTTTTGTTTAATTTGCTGTTGTAGGATTTAATAAGCTCACTTTATGCAGAACTGGTCTCCTTCCTGCTATATGGTGTATGAGCAATAGATATGCAATTCAAACTTGAGTACAACTGTCATGCCTGTTTTTACTTTTTTACACATCCACAGGTATGCCTTTTTGTAATTTAACTTATCATGGTTGCAAAGCCATGAAATCTACATCCAATAATCCCCAAAATTATGCAATCCTGGTCTGCAAAAAAATGTATTAAAATTTATTTAAAGAAAGCCTTTAATTTTTTTACCCTCATTAATCATGCATTTAGTAAATATAGATTGTTTTAATTATTAGTAGATTTTTTTTGGGTCATGATGACAAAAACAAAAGGATCAGGTCATTGAATTGGGGTGATAGAAACTAGCTGTTACCTTTCCAGTCTTTTGCTTGCTCTAGTAGATTTCACAACCTTAAACTCAAATTGATGATTTATTTTCTATTTTAGCCTGTTAGAAAAATCTGGCTCTGCCATATACCCTTTTAGAACAAAATATAAGTAAAGCCATTATATCAAAAGAAAAACACGTTTCCAAGATAGCTCACTAGCTGGCAGACTTGCTGGCAGACTGGTTCCTTATGTTCAAGACCATGCTGTGCTGGTGGGGCAGTGATATTTGAATCAGGCTCCCCTAAGGTGTTCCTTTAGAGGTGTGTAGGGAGCCTGACATTTCTCCCCAGTTCCCATGGCTGCAGACCCCAGGCCTTCACTGGCCTTGTCAACCACTATGATTCACCACAGGCCACAATGACAGTGAGAGGATGAGTATTCATAAAGAATATGTTCTTCTTTATTTTATTGAAAAAACAAAAGCTCACTTCAAGCTGCAGGATCGTCACATTCACAATTTATCATTGTGTGTTCTGAGTCACACGTAATATCCTTAAATTTACACTGATGTCAGCATCAGAGTCGTTCTGGAGAGAGAGGCTGGGACCTCTGCAGATGTAGTGACAGTAGAGTTTTTTTTCAGGGACCTACTGCCACACACTCAGACTCGAGAGGGGGCGGGGGTTTGGAACATCGAGAAGGTCAGCCAGATGCCCTCTGGAGGGTGGTCAGACTTTGACACACAGCCAATCACGCAACTTAGTTTCCCTCACATGCAGATGCAGAACACCTCTGGCCAAGCTGTCTTTATATAGCCTTTAGTTATACCTTTTTAAAATATATTCAGAGGGTTTTTTAAAATTTAAATAATACCACATTTGATCATTTAAGGAAGACAGAGACACGTTAGGATATTTAGGTCATTGTCCCCCTAATCTGTTCAATGCCAGGCTGACCAAAGCTTAGATGGGAAGCTTATGGCA